CCGTATCTTCGGTAGCGGTGATTGGCAAGATGCCTACGGGAAACTCGTCCGAAATCGATTTTCAAGTCACTGAGAACGGAGGCTTTTTCTTCGCAGGATTTTGACCGTTTCACTCCGTTCTTTCGCCATTTCCCCACTATACAGCGCCCTACTAGCATTTTAGGCTAAGTAGGAAACCATCGTGCCAACTGCCTTTAATAGGCGAGGTAATTCGGGGTGGGTGAGCCACTTACAGTGCGCAAAAGTTGACATTTGGGAAATAGCAATGGTCATAGAACCCCATGGAGAAGAGAGGGCGCAGAGAAGAACAGAAAGGTCAAAGGGATGGAGTTCAAGTTATCCGCACAAACAACATCCAGCTGACTGCGGTAAAGGCACAGTCCTTTCTGGTCATGTTTACGGGAATGAGGGCAAAGCCACACAAGCATTATGCCTGCCTGGTTGGTACGTCCCCTTAACCTGGTGGGAAGGAGAGGCAGTCCAACGGTGGGGACGCAAAGAACGTGTATCCCTGCTCAGAGATCAGCATGGGCGGTGCCTTCTGTTCGGGCATACTAAGCCTTTCAATGCTCAGGCGATTCTTTACAGAAGCGAAATGCAGCCTCCCTCCTCCCTACCACTCCCCAAACACAGATTGATACCAGAAATTCTACCTTTTCCATCCTTTCCTTTCAACTTCCACAATTCCCTTTTAGAGGGTGTTGATCGGGGGAATAGGCAGTGTGGTCATCTAGCATGAATTCGCGATAATCAAATAGATGAGAAAATAGGCCGAGCCTCATGAAAACTTGCCTGCTTGTTTCGTTCTTTCTCTTACTTCGTTGAGCAGAAAGAGTGCGCCAATGAATATGACTCTCCGCCCATTTCTTACCTCCCTTCATTATCGCGGAAAGTGCCTCTGATAGTTTGCCATCAGTTGTATGATAATCTTTTTGTAGTGTTCCGATTTCCACGAATAGTCGGCAGTTTAAAGTGTTCAAAACTAGTCAGGAACTTCGGAGCAAAGCTATAGATATTCAATAATTGTTTCACAGAGTCGTCCAATCCAACATCATTCAGGCCCGAAAGGAAAAAGAAGAAGCGAATCGATTTTACGAAGTTCTGCAAAGAGTTCAAGAATCGATATCTATTTGTGTGTCCCGATCCGTTCCGATTTGGTCAGAAGGTGAGCTGACAAATAGTAAAATCAAACGGAGTGAAGAGCGCCCACATAATAGGAAAAAACGAAAAAAATTAAAAATACCGCAAATGCGGTGCAAGCGTGTAACCGGTTTTCGTTCTTAAAGGGTAACTCACGGTTGACAGATGTAGGTGGGCAGCTTTTCCCGTTTTCCGGCCAGGGCACATCGTGCTGTTGGGGAAAAACTTCGCAAAATACTACCTCCTGTCGATACTTCCTCCCTTGGTACAGCCTCCCTTTCCCCATCCCATCATATCTTCCATCCTACCCACCATCTTTCTAAACTTCCACCCAACTTTCTCCTTTTTTATTTGCTCGAGTGAAACAGGGGAAGCCGAGAGAAGTCGAAAATGTTTTTCCTAAGGGTCAACATGAATCCTCTCTCCAGCGAATAACACACCTCACAAACCCAATCACGGGGATCCCGAACCACACAGTGCCCCGTTACAGCCATTAAAAAGTTTTTCCAATA